TAATAATAATAATAATAATAAATACTAATATACTATTTATTTTGACAATTTTGTTTCTTTTAAGCATTTGGGTGAATTACGGTTTTGAGTTTTAAAATGATCTTTCGACTTTTTTTTTTCATTTTAATTTGTTTTAAGTACAATTGCAAAAACAATCTTTAGTTTGAGCTTCTATAATATGTTGAATTTCAGCTACTCTGTTTTATATCATTGTAAGCCGAAAAGCTTTGGGGTGTGGCCTGCTAGTCGAACAAAACAAGAGATGTAAAGAGATCATTCAACTCTGAGGAATGGCAATGGACAATTTCAATTATATTCTGACATTCTTTGGCAGATTAATATATTCATTGGGAAAATATTTGTCAGATCAAGCAACAATCAAGTTTGTCCAGGATCTGTTAAAACGATGATGGACTTTAACATCACATTAATACAGAGGTGAAATTTGATAAACAATATTAGTGAATTCTGATTCAGCCCTTATTACAGGCCCAGAATATTTTTTTAGAAAATACCAAGTGGCTCCAATCTTAATTGTAAATAAGCTTTATGGTCATATTTGAGATAGTTTTGTCACAGTGTTTTTATCAGTGCAAAACTGATTTAGGAAAGAAACTCATGCAAAACCTACATTAAATCTGTAGTCTGCACATCATTACTACTATTTTACTGTTTGCGTACCTCTCCTGCTGTTTCTGTTGTTTCTCCTCTCTGGCCTGGGCCTTCATCTGCTGAACCTCTATTGTGTCTGGCTTGCGGCGACGCATGTACAGCTCATGATTGCCCATACACAGCTGGAGGATGCGCTTATTAATGCGCAGTCTTGGGGCATAAAACACAAAGTCCTGAAATTTGGAGAAGAAACAAACAGGAGAGAAGATTCAGAAAGAAAAGACATATCATACACCAGGTTGAATAAACGTTACGTTACTTTCCATCATGCCAGTATAGGGAATGCTTTATGTTCGACACAGACTGCTCCATGTTTGGTAAAGGGTGACTGGTGGATTATAGCATTGCTTAGAGTGCAGCTAAGCCTCGTCTGTATGCTACCTCAGACTGAAGATATGTCGAATGTTTTCTTTTTCCACTACAGAGAAATGTGGTGCTACAGGTAAAACAGATGTTACTCAATGGGCTCTGGAAAGCCTGATTCTACTTTAATAAACAAGAACCCTTGAATTGCAGAAGACGATGAAGGAAAAAAGAAATTTTTCAAACAAGATAGAGCGTTTTCAGGTTTAGAAATGTCATCTTGTGCAAAATCTTTGATGATATTTTACTCACTGGAGATTTCTTGTCAATAGGCTTGATGATGAACTTCTTATCATTGAAGGAAATGTTCCTGATCTCACTCCAGGGGAAGCCAATCTTTGGGGTCAATCTGAAGGAGTGACCACATGAACATTATACAGTGAAACATGATACAGTGCAAGTTCCAACATAAACAACATAACATAAACATAAACAACATAAATGTCAAGTGGCATAGTCCATGTTATCATCTTCTAATACATTTTGACAACCTAAAACCTCATGTTCATGCAAAAGCTGCACAGTCCACCACATACACACGTGGACAAAATTGTTGGTACCCCTCGGTTAATGAAAGAAAAACCCACAATGGTCACAGAAATAACTTGAATCTGACAAAAGTAATAAATAAAAATTCTATGAAAATTAACCACTAAAAAACAGACATTGCTTTTGAACCGTGGTTCAACAGAATTATTTAAAAAAAAATAAACTCATGAAACAGGCCTGGACAAAAATGGTGGTACCCTTAACTTAATATTTTCTTGCACAACCTTTTGAGACAATCACTGCAACCAAATGATTACTGTCAACGAGACTTCTGCACCACTCATCAGGTATTCTGGCCCACTCCTCATGAGCAGACTGCTCCAGTTGTCTCAGGTTGGAAGGGTGCCTTCTCCAGCCACCATGTTTCAGCTCCTTCCACAGATGTTCAACAGGATTTAGATCAGGGCTCATAGAAGGCCACTTCAGAATAGTCCAATGTTTTCCTCTGAGCCATTCTTGGGTGTTTTTAGCTGTGTGTTTTGGGTCATTATTGTGTTGCAAGACCCATGACCTGTGACTGAGATCAAGCTTTCTGACACTGGGCAGCACATTTCTGTCTAGAATACCTTGATAGTCTTGAGATTTCATTGTACCCTGCACACATTCAAGACACCCTGTGCCAGATGCAGCAAAGCAGCCCCAGAACATAACAGAGCCTCCTCCATGTTTCACAGTAGGGACAGTGTTCTTTTCTTGATATGCTTCATTTTTGCATCTGTGAACATAGACCTAATGTGCCTTGCCAAAAAGTTCCAGTTTTGTCTCGTCTGTCCATAGGACATTCTCCCAGAAGCTTTGTGGCTTGTCAACATGCAGTTTGCCAAATTCCAGTCTGGCTTTTTTGTGGTTTGTTTTCAACAATGGTGTCCTCCTTGGTCGTCTCCCATGAAGTCCACTTTGGCTCAAACAACGACGGATGGTGCGATCTGACACTGATGTACCTTGACCTTGGAGTTCACCTTTAATGTCTTTAGAGGTTGTTCTGGGCTCTTTTGTTACCATTCGTATTATCCATCTCTTCCATTTGTCATCAATTTTCCTCCTGCGGCCACATCCAGGGAGGTAGGCTACAATCGCATGGATCTTAAATTTCTGAACAATATGTGCAACTGTAGTCACAGGAACATCAAGCTGCTTGGAGATGGTCTTATAGTGTTTACCTTTAACATGCTTGTCTATAATTTTCTTTCTAATCTCCTGAGACAACTCTCTCTTTGGCTTCCTCTGGTCCATGTTTAGTGTGGTACACATCATGTCACCAAACAGCACAGTGACTACTTGTATCCCTATAAATAGGCCGACTGACTGATTACAAGTTTGTAGACACCTGTGATGCTGATTAGAGGACACACCTTGATTGAACATGTCCCTATGGTCACATTATTTTCAGTGAAGTTGTTCCTGTGACCGTTGTGGGTTTTTCTTTCATTAACCGAGGGGTACAAACAATTTTGTCCACGTGTGTATATACCTCGACTGAAATTATACCACAGCACAAAATAAATCATGATTACTCATGCAGACAATGACTATACATCCCTTGTGTCAAATAATCTCAGCTGTTTAAAACACTTAACAGAGTGTCTGGATGTGAAACAACAATCTGAAATTAAAAGGAAGAACAAACAAAAAATAAAGTCATTTGACCTGGCTCTAAAAGAGGCAAAATTCTAAAAGGATTTTAACAAACAATGTTTTATGCTTGGAAATAAGAGAGCAATGTGGAATCTATCTAGTAAATATTTCAATTAAAATCTTGTGGTGCATCAGAGAAAACTACTGCAGTGATTTAAAAAAGGACAAACACAAGTACAGTGTTGAGCTTGAAGTTGTCAGGACAAGTGGTTCTTGAAGAACAAAAAGAGATAAACGCTAAACGGTAGTCAGTGGTGACTGTTGGATTAGGAAAATGTCATCATGGCAAAAATGGCTGTCAAAGTATGAGATGTGTTTCAAAACCCACACAACCATCCTATATAGTATACCAGAAAAAGGTTCAGTATGTCCCTATTGGATACACATAGTGTGTTGTATATCATATAGTATATATGTGTCCACCTGTCTTTTTCTCTATTTGTTCCTAATTTTGCAATTTCAACTTTTTCCATTGTTTTTTTTTTTTATTATTGTTTTGGGGCTGCCAGACAATTTACATCAACAGCAACATGGACAACTAAGGATGTTTCCAGGATCTGTTTTTTTCTGCTTTTTTGGCTCTCTGTGGAGTTTATCTTGGCGAACTACAGTGAAGTCAGTCATCCCAGCGGACACCAGAGACTTTGTGCTGCAGGTCGCAGTCCCCACCTACGGGAAATCTATGGGACTGCTCTTGTAAGAGGACTTACAACAAAAAAGAAGGTAACCAGGAGGGCAAAGAAGAAAACTGGTGGAATTAGAGCCAGACTGAACAGGGAGAAATGTAAACACCGAGTGCTCCCCTCGATCATCCTGCCAATGTGTACTCTTTAGGCACCAAAACAGATGAGCTGCAAGGCAGCATTACCCACGTGCGTGAATGTAGGACGTGGACTAAGACATTTAAGGAAGCGTGGTTAAATAACGACAGCAATGACATGCTGCACATTAAGGGCTATGCCCCCCAAAAGTCTTGACTTGTGCTATATAAATAAAATTGAGTGATACTGCTCTTCGCTCGTCTGAACCATGTTAGTACCTTATGTACATTTTTTCTTGTTAAAACAACATGTTACTTAATTTTTATCTCAGTATATTCCATTTTTTATTTTCAAATGTAATTTTGCTTATCCAGTTTCAACTACATACTAGAATTACATATTGTCTGCTGTTTATGATGAATAATATGAATGTATTCAGCCTCTCCGGCTGCTAAACCTCAATCACACATTTAGAATAAACTTCAAAATCAATTTATATGAAACTAAACTCTCTGTAAATGCACTAAAATGACAGGTTTCTATCAAACGTCATATTGTTGAGTCAATACCTAAACCAATCAGCTGATTGGTTTTCTATCATACTTTGAGGCCGTGCCGTCACTGGAGAAGAACTGTGGAGTGTGGCTGCAAAAACTGCAGCCCTCTTGCCCTCACAAAGTTATCGTTGCATTATGATGTCAGAGCATGTTGGGATGAAGTCGGGCAGAAATCTAACCGGCTGCACTGTGCAGTGATGGAATCTGCGCAGGTTTGGCTGATCTGAAACAAGAAATTTAAGGCAAGAAATAAGCTATGCAGTTACTAATCCAATCCAATCTGAGGCAGCCAATGTCTGAGAGACCATAGGAGGGTGAATCCTGTGTTGGTCCCTTTTGCAGAGATTCAAGCATCCAATGTTGAAAAGCAGAGTGATGCTGCGCATGTGAAAACTCCACTGTCGACACAAATAGTTTATTCGACTAGATATCGTTAAACCATGGTATGTGTTCACAGGATCTATCACTTTAGTGCTTCCCACTCACTGTCTAGTTTAGACAGAGTGACATGTATTCTGGTAGCATTGCATTACATTTTGAGAGGCTCAGTGTCACATTGCCCAGTGCTCATTTGAACAAACTAAAGACAGCGGCTACTTTATGCAAATGGAGAGCACTGAACAGGGGTCCGATGCCTCACAAAACGTTTGTAAAACTTTTAAATTAATCACCGCAAACCTAAAACAAGAACAGACTCAGCAATGTCACACCTTTTTTGTTTTCGTCTTAAATACAACATTTTACAGAACTGTGTTCGTAACGAAAGAGAAAGATTGTGACTAAGCCACCACATTGGCCCAGTTTGAAATCCAGGAGCAGAGAGCTCCTGATAACCCACAGTTCAATCTGATGTAGTCAACTTTCGAGCAACTGTGGTTGCATAAATCTTGTGTTGATTCCTGTTGAAGAGCTTCAGGTGTCCTGTCAGGACCCCCAGCCTCAGCTGCCCCCACTTGCTTGCCCTCACTCTCCCTCTGTCTTTCCACTTCTCCATGCAGTGTGCCTGATAGCAGGGAATGGCTTACCTGCATCTAATCATTCAGACCCACAAAAGCACAGCTCATTCCTTCACACACCGCCAGACCATAGATAATGAAACCCCATTTCCGTGTCAATGCCTGACCCGCCTTCTGACTCGCTGCTCTGCTCCTCCCAGCAGCCGGTCTTTCACAGCATGTGCAAGCAGGGAACCAGTCTTTCATAAGTGGGTTTGTTTAATAATAAAGATTGCTATTACTGAATTTCTACATGTATAAATTAAATGGCATTTATTAACATCATGTGATAGCAAGAAACCTGTAATCATAGGACAATGACTACTAGATTACTTTAGACTACTCTTGGCATTTTCTCAATTAGCTTCATGAGATAGTCTCCTGGAATGGTTTTGAATTAACAGGTGTGCCATGTCAAGACAATGCCAAAAGTGTGCAAAGTTGTCAAAGCAAAACGGGACTACTTTGAAGAATCTAAAATATAAAACATATTCTGGTTTAACATTTATTTTGTTTACAACATAATGTCATATGTGTTCTTTCATAGTTCCGATGTGTTCAGTATTCATCTACAAGGTAGAAAATATTTTAAATAAATAAAAACCAGTGTGTCCAAACTTTTGACTGGTACTGTACATACATTAGTATTATATATTTCCAGCATATGATAGCAGGAAACCTGTCACCTATACCTAGGCTTCATTAATGATTACTGTAACTAAATATGTACAATAGAAATAGGAGTGATGACATCTGAGCATCACGCGACGCTACAATGCTCTCCTGGTCACTGTGAGATGAGCTGATAGTTGAGAGTGGATGATGAAATGTATGTCATGGGTTATATTGAGAAAGCTGCAAGCAGCAGAACTGGTGGCCAAGCAATCAGCCCTTTCTGCACAGGCACATGTTGCACAGGCATTCATGAGCTAGTATGTGGAATTCTGTGACTAATATGACTGATTTATAAGAATAACCATGCTGGGAACATTTAATGGCAATAGCTTGTAGAAAAGTATAATAAAAGTTTAAAAGGAATTTTTCAGGTGCAGTCTTTTGAGATAAGTAACAGGTGACCTGCAGTTTTAAAAGCCAGAAAATATTAGCTGCTGATACATTGTGTAATTGACAGTGCTTACAGTGGAAAATGTTACAATTTCCAAAAATCCAAGGTAACATGTAGGCTCCAGCCCCCCCCCCCCCC